ACTGATGCCTTCCCTGTCTCCCAAACTGTCAGGAAAGCCAAGGCACAGCTGAATCTCTTCTGAAATTACTTTTGCTAAAACAATATATTGTTTATTACGTGGACTCTTGCGTGATAATTTTATTAAAGGGATGCTGAGGAAGGATTACCAGCAGTATTTTGCACTCTCCGCTTTGAAGATCTGCGCATTTCTCAGACATGTCTATCAGTATAGTGGTTTTATATCCATTTACAAGCAGTAAAATCTGCCTCCACTACAAAAGCTGGTAGTTTCTGCATCTGAAGATAACCATACACATACATGCGCCGCGGGGAAATTCACTTGGCGAGGGTGTCTGTCCTGTAACCTGGGATTCAGTCACACTCGCAGAAAAAGGTGGCTTTCTAGCTGTAGAGTTATTTAGCAATACCAATAAAAACGATGGCCTTGTTGTTCCAGGGGTTATATACCAATACGAAGCATGCTTATTCAACATAATCATCCCAAAGACACCAAGAGCTGAATCGCTCTAAGTAGCCATGCTTTATAATCACTGCAGCAAGATTAATTAGCCCAAGCAGAGGGCTACACTCACAGATATACTGCTTCAATACCTTACCTACCTTGCTTAGTAAATGACTCTTGATAACTCTAAATACAATTACATTGTGAAATATTTTAAAAAACCCCCACATTTATATCCCCAGAGGGTGGCAAGAGACAGCCAGCTTGTGTTATTTCAAACTCTGCCACTGGAACAGCAGCCTGTTACCCTTACACAGATATCAGCATCAATTTGAGCTTACAAAAAAAAAAAAAAAGAAAAAAAAAGAAAAAAGAAAAAGAAAGCCCCGTAGTAATGTTGACATGTCAAAGGTCAAATTCTGTGATCTGGCAAACATGCAAGGTTTCCACCTCTTTGTAATAAGGGGTCAAAATCTGGTCCTTGTTTTGGACCTTCTGCTGCAGTTCAACATCGAACCCTCCGTTGAACCACCTTGCAATCTGTTCTTTCTTTCTGACTTCCTTCCTTGCCTAGTGATTTCCTTCACAGTCATCTCTGACACTTCCCTTGCACTTTTTTAGCTTTCAGATTTCCTTTGAGGACCAAGCGGCGGCTCAAGTACAAGACTCTTACGCTCTAAATCACACTGCAAGCAGAGCTAAAAAGGCCTGTTTTCCAGGCAATCTGCGGCAGCCGGATATAAGCCGGGCTGAATCCTAGAGAAAACACTAAAACACCAAAAATAGGTTAGAGCTATACTGTCTAGTTAAATCTATATCATTTATAAGGTCTCCTTACCACCTTAATAATAAATATCAACATCTTGAATCACCTGCATTTCTGGTGTTCTGAGGAGGTATAAACAGGTGATTTAACTTACTGGTTAATGTGTAACAAACTGGTAACTACAACCGTTTGTCCAACAAACTGAAAAAAAAAAACCCAACCAAGACGGAAACAGACACCTTGAGCTTGCAGGAAATAGCTGTATGAGTTTTAAGGACTTTTTTTTTTTTTAACCTACTTTCATGGCCCTCCTGTAAAGCAAATATAATTACTAATCCCACAGAAAGAGCCTGAAGTTTTTTCCTCTCCCTCTCTGCAAAAAGCTGCCTTGTTTGTGTCTCTGCCCTGTAACAAACAAGAAGATAAATGAGACATTTATGCCAAAGTAATCATTCTAAATCTGTTGTTTTGACCTCTAAGCCAAATTTTCTGCATTACATGCCAGTGGCTCAGATAAAACAGTACTCTTTTTTTTTTTTTCCTGACAACTGAACCCTGTAACGTATGTGTAGCTCTGCTCAACAAATTACTCTATCATTTATCTCTGAACATAAGTGTATCAGTAAACAGAGGGTGTAGGAAATTTGGCACCATGAGGTATCAACCCCCCTCCTCTCCTTAGACCCTCTCGGTTTTCTGCATCTGGGAAACTAATGCACATTTGGACGCAAATCCAACTACGAGCAAAATTAGAAATCCTCACTAAAATGAAAACAGCAGGATAGCAGATATAAATATCTGGAGGACAATATGCTTTACCTTAATAGGTAATTTTGTATATTTTATTTATTGGAGCAGAGATATTCAGCGTTCCACCAGAGCAGAAATTTTAGGATTGAAATCACGAGCAACCTTCAATTCTTAAAGACAAGATTGTACTGGATACTGTCCAAGATGAACTCCACTTGACCTTAAAAGCAGTACTTACTTTCCAGCTGGAAACCAGAGTTTCCATACAGGCTGCTCAAGATGTGCTTTGCAGCTAGACAGACAACACCGTCCAGACAAATATTTATTTTTCTGGCAGATAAAATGGTCTCATATTTTCTGCAGCAACAGATGACAGCAAGCCTGCAGAGAGGCACGCGGTCTCTCTGGGTAACGACAGAGCTGCGTGCCCTTCATTTTGTCTTGCAGCCCATGGTCCAGGGGACTGGGAAATAACCTGTGTCTGCAAAAATGGGGATTCCCCTCAGGTACATTTCCTCCCTGAGCACATGGTAGGATGGCAGGTACCAACCCCAGGCATCAGTTAAGCAGCTGCAATGCAAAGAGGCTTGATGAATCAGAAAGTCAGCCCAGCTACGGTTTTACAAGTGCAATCCGTCAGGTGGCAAACCACACTGTTGAGGGGGAGAGAAATAAAAATGCTTTCCCCACACCTCCCAAGCCCCTGGTGCAAACAACCCCTGCATGAGACCACAGTGGCAGCACAAGAAACCACCTCCTGCACCAGAGAGCTTCTTGTGAGCCTCGCCACTTGTAGAGGTACGTGCACGTGTGGGAAACACCACTACCGCGGAGGCCTTCCTCCGGCACCGCTCTCCATCGAGTATCAGAAGCCCCACGCCACCACGCCCCCTCCTCTCCATCCATCCGTCCATCCGTGCCGGCCACCGCTGCGTCCAGCTCGCGCTGGTTTAGTACGGCCACTGCCCCAATGGGAAGAACTTGAGCTTTCATGAGTAAATTACTCTTCTGTACGTAACAGGCCAAAACAGGCTCTTTCTTATACTCCTGTGGCATCCATTCCCTTTTTTATCTCATATGGAAATACAGTATTTTCTACTAAGAGAAATATTACTCTCCTCCCTTCTTTCTTTCTCTTTTTTTTTAACTAGCATTTTTACTATTTTTTTTTCTTTCCATTTGAAACCCTTTGCTCCAGCACATCTCCAGAGAGATTCCTCAGTTACAGCCTGGGTAAGAGAGAAAATGGCCTTCACTTTGCTGAACTTAGGGTTTTTTCCATCTTTCTAGTCACACCTGACACCCAAACCTTTTCATCTTGCATTGGAAACCTTTGGAAAGGGTTGCCTTTTAGAATAAGCAGCAAATAGCTACTCTTTCAGTCCTCACCAACCTACCTCATTAGAAACGGGATTAAGCTATTTTTTAACCAAACACAAACAGAAACAGAAGTAACCACTGATACCTCTGCAACCACATGTATCTCCCTAGTACTGGACTCCAAATAAAGATGGCAAAATCCATTCTAAAAGGAGGATCAAAAGTGTTTCTTTCTGAAGCATCAGTTGCACAGTAGTAATTTTAGAAATTTAAGACAGCTCGAAGCTGCTGCTGGATTATTTTTAACAGGAGCTTTGTGTACAAGGGCAGTTTGGAGGCCACCCGGCCACGGAGGGCAAGAGGACCCTGAAGCAAAGCCCCAGCTGCAGTCAGGAATCCTCTCCACAGGAGAAGATTTCGAATTAAATTTATAAGAGAGGACAAAAGAGTGAGCTGCTGACTTCTGAGCCTTTAGGAAGCTGCCACCACGTGCAAACGCCACTTTTTCTTTTCAGGTTTACCATCTTCAGTCAGAAGACAGTGAAGTGCTCTATTGGAAACATAGGTGAGGCAAGGCAGCTGGTGTTGGACAGCTGGGAAATGAGCAGAGTTCAAGGTTCAGCTATTATTAAAAAGCACACACATCCTTCTATATTTATTCCCACTTTACAGCTCCAAATAAAACACATGCAGTCTTGATGAGTTTACAACTCTAAATACAATGCAGGAGAAAAACGCTAAGGCTTATCTGGGAAAACCAAACTGATATATACAAAAGCACCAGAAGGATTATTATTATTTTTACTGCTGCCACATATACAGCTACATTTCTAAAAATACACTACTAGGCCTAGAATTAAACATAACAAAGTAGAAACGCCACTGGCTTACAAACACAGCCACAATTTGAAATCAGGCAGCCTGTTCCTCACCCCAGCTCCATCACGGACCTCCTCAAAAAGCCACTCCGGAGGATCCATACATTGCTGCATGCTATACGCTCCAGCAAGCTTCACGTCTGGGTCTGACAAGTGGCAAGGAGCTCGGTGCGGCCAGCTGAACTATCTACCCTGCTTCTCAGGCAGATTTCACAGGGCTCGCCATCGCTGCTCCCAGCCTGATACCGCTGGCACAATAACCAGCTCCCGCCCTGCAATAACCAGAAAACAAGCTGGCAGAGACATGCCCCTCGTCTCTGGGGATGGCTCCATTTCTCCAGAGAAAGAACAAGCAAAGCGTGTAACCTGGGTCAATCATGCACTTAGATGCTTTGACCGGAGGTCCCGCAGAATGGCAAAACGCTTACAGCGAGTAAAGGTAATGCACACAGTGAAAACACCGTGACTGGACCGACCAGAATGGCTGTCTGACATGACAAATTAAAAAAAACCCTAAATGCAAGATAAGGCATATTCACTTCCACTTTGAAAAAACAGTCTGACAAATAAATAAAAAAAAAAAAGTAGCTGTAATAGAGATGCAGAGGAATGAAAACAACCATCCCCCATACCAGAAGACAGCCGGCCAGCACAATCCAAAGTAACGTTTCTACATGCCCTGCCAGAATCTGTTCAAGACCAAACAGCAACCACCGCCACCAAGACATATAGCTGCAGCAGAGAATTCAATAACCACCTCCTTTTTTTCCCTCTTTTAAACCAGAGAAACATTAAGCCCGAAAAGTTTGTGCCAGGCGGCAGGCCAGGCAGGGGGTACTCACTGCAAGCTCCGCAGGTGAAGCAGCCATCGTGGTAGAGGTTGCCCATGGCCTGGCAAGCCTGGTTTGCTCCATACACCCCCTTGCTGCACTTCACGCAGGTGCCTGGAAGAAAGAGAGGGAGACAGAGGTCAGAAACGGGACTTGGCATGGTGGCTGGGGTCACTGGCTGGGTGACCGCACAGCACGGTGGCTCGGCAGCTTAGGAACAGATGGTTCCTTGTAGCCACAAGATGTGGGTGACATTGGCGTTACCCACGCTGAGAGATGCTGTTAACCATGGTCACAATGGTCATCAAATCTTCATGGCAAAAGCTTTTTGCTAAAAAGTAAACTGGACAACAATAGCCCTGTTAGTCTACAGCGACATCTCCTTCCTTCACCCATTCATTCCCGCAAACTTTATATACATTTAAAACCACTTAATGTCCCTCCCAAATGCCTGAGTGGCAGGAAGTGGCGCTCAGGGCTGTTCACAGACCAATAGTTTCTGCTACTTATTGCATAAAGTAAGCTTGTTGGTTGCAAGTGATGTGAGGAAAACACACCTCTTCACTTAGCCCCTTTAAACCTTCATTGATTTCAGACCCCACTCACATCTGCTGAGAGCCCGAAGAATTTCCCACCAAAACAGAGCTGGACCGACTACCTGACACCTATCTCTCCCCCCTTTGTCAGCCACATCTGAACAGAGACACCCAACATAGGTGCTTCCTACAGACCATGTATCCTGCCCAGACGTTGTTGTCACCTCTTGCAGGACAAGAGGTCAGTTTTAAGGAGAAGATACCTGGTGGCAGCAGCACCACCAGCCAAGGGGGGGCTGACTCTCAGGTGGCCCATGGGGAACCAGAGCCAGCACAAATGGTCAACTTCTGGCTATAAGCTGTCCCAAGTGAAGTCCAAGCTGCTCCTCACACCCAGGCTTTCCTGCCACCACCATCACCTGAAGACGAGGGTCAGCTCTGGAGCTCAGCTCAGTTGCTGGCACAGCCAAGCACATTTCCACCAGCACCTGCCCAGGTGTGGGGCTCCAACCCAAAACCCAAGCCAGGCAGACAGCATAGGGTGAGGATTTCCACCTCACGAGGAAGCTGCTGGGACCCTCCAGGCACAGACCTGTCTGATCAGGGCTGGGAAATGGCGGCAACGGGGCAGATGTGTGGTGGTGGTGGTGGGGAGGGACCACAAGAAGACTTTAGCACTGCAGGTTCTCAAAGGGTGTTTTGCATTCAGCTAGGGCCTCTCAAATCTCACCACATTTCCATGTGAAACTATTTTGATAACTGTGTAAGAAGTGACAACTGAGTTTCACACTTTTGATGGCATCCGCTAGCAGGACCTGCTCCCTCCACCTAACAGGGAGAAAAGCAGCAAGGCTGCCCAAAACCACTACTAGCGGCTGGAGAGAGAAAGTCCTTGTCCAAGGAAAATGACACATCAAGCCAGTTTACCTACATCAGGCATTACCCTGTGATTGAGATAGACCAGTTTTAAAGCAGCACCACCTTTCACCTACCTCTAAACGGGCAGCTTTAATCCGTGTTTAAACAAATAAACACGGACCTACTTGAAAAGGGCAGTGTGAAGGACAAATAGAAGACATGCTTCTTTCTCTGGTCCGTGATGACCCTGCAGATGTGAGCTCACCTCCAGGTCTCTCCTTCCGCCGCTGCTCAGTCCCATTCACCCCAACTCTTAAACGCCCTGGAGAAGGGACTCTTGCTCACATCTCGCTCCTACTGGCCCAAGAAGCATCATCTTGCTGGAGTTCCTTAGTCATGCTGTGGTTAACAAAACTTCACTTCTTTTGGGGCCTTGCAAGCTCCAGAGTAATTGGAAAGGTCTGGTGAAAGTTAGGAAGAAACCCAAGGAACTTACGACAGCGCTGAAAAGTAACTCCCAGCTCCGGCAGCACCACGCTGGCAGTCCCAGGGTGGTTAACAATTTCTTCCCGCGGCCATCAATTTTCACACTACAGGGATAAAAACGCTCAGGAGCCCTTTGCAGTAGAGCTCGCACAGCTGCTAAAAAGCAGATACTTCATTTTCCCAGAGCAGGCCTGGCTCTCTGTGCTGCAGCTGCCTGCGTGCATTCAACCACTACGCTGAAAGCCGTCCTAGCGCTGCTGCAAGCCCCACTGCACTCAGAGCCAGAGTCCAAACTGACACAAACCTAGAGAGAACGCTGCGGAGAATAATTCGTTACTCTGTTTTGTCCAAATCCAACCTGAACTGAAATGCTAGATTGGCCGCAGGCCCACCCCAGCCTGCAGACTGGCACCAAGTTAGCAAAACTTGCTGGTTCTTTTCGAACCAAGCAGATTTATCTCAGTCATTTATTGAAGGAAACATTTTAAGAAAGCAAAAGATAAATCATGCAGGCATTACCAAAAAAAAAGAAGGAAAAAAAAAAAAAGACAAGCCAAAGATAAGAAAAATTGGCTTTTCAAATGGATGTTTTCTCCCAGGAATGCGTACATTCAGCAGCAGCCTGAGATGCTGTGCAATTGTCTGATACAAGAGCTAACAGCTACCTTGCAAAATTCCCTCTTGACTACAGCAATGCCGAGTTGTAGAAAGAGAGCGAGCAGATAACCTGCTGATTTTGCTGTTCAAAGCCTTTCCATGACATTCACCAGGCTCTCCACAGAACCAAAGTACTCATCGCACTGGAAGTGCTGCATTTTTCCCTTCTCCGTGCCAATGAGCGGCTGCTCCAGAAAAAAAAAAAAATCACCAGCGTGCTCCGATTTCCTCCTTTCCAGAAAGCAGCCGGGCAACAATGAATATGGATGAGCAAGAGCAAGCAGGAGGCAGAAGGCACAGCAGCTGCACGCAGGCACAGTGCACGGTAAAGATGCTGGCAGGCATCTAAAGCCGCTATAAAATACCCTAACGCAAATCCCACAGAGGGCAGAAATTGCCTGTGATGTCTCCTGTCCATCCCATTTAAGTTTCAGAGCCCGTATTTCCCCCAACGGGACAGATAGTCCGGCCGGAGCCTACAGGAGCTTCCCAGGCTCCTGCATCCTTCCCCAAACCTTCCTCCACCTCCCGCCCCTTGACTGCCCCCACCATCCTTCCGCCTTGCTTCATCTCTAAGTACACATTCCCCCCCATCCCCTCCTTGACCCTTTTATCAACTTCTTTAAATATTTAGGCCCTTAAAACACGGAAAATGAAGTCATAGAATGAAAGGGCTTTTAAAATAAATTGACAATGTTGTCTGTAAAAACTATAATGCGCTAAATTACCCAACTACATAATAACCAACCATGCTATAAATATTTATAGATGTCCTGTGGCAAGGCTGACAATTGAGAAAAGGCATGATGGCAAATCTGTGTATAGTTTATGCTTCTACTTGTATCTGCTAAATCTTACTTGAAAGCCAATTAAATCTTGGTGGCAACTGCAATTATTTTAGAAATAAGTCTTTACTTTTCCCAAATATAACATTCTGAAGTATTTTAAGCCACATACTTGAGCCTTCATCTCTGACTCTTAGCCCAACTGGTCTGAAAGGGGATAAAAAGGTGATTTTTTTTTATTGATTTCTGCTTTTTGCTCACTCCCTGCTGCCACGATAATCCTGTTCTTTCGGCTTAGGGTACGCAAGGAAAAAGCAATACCTGTTGCTGACGGCGGCCAGTCGCTGAGCTCGGCAACATGTGTGTGAAGCCAGGCTGATGGAAAGCAGCGCAGCACAGGCGACCTCCCACCCCATCCTGCCGCAAAACAGGCTCTGCGCCCTGCTCCACGCCAGCTCCGACGACTACTTCCCGAAACAGTGCTGAGCGTGCTTTCTGCTAGCCAGGGCGTAAAGTTAAAATGTCAGCAGCATCAGTGCAGTCCCTGAGCTCGGCAACATGTGTGTGAAGCCAGGCTGATGGAAAGCAGCGCAGCACAGGCGACATCCAACCCCATCCTGCCGCAAAACAGGCTCTGCGCCCTGCTCCACGCCAGCTCCGACGACTACTTCCCGAAACAGTGCTGAGCGTGCTTTCTGCTAGCCAGGGCGTAAAGTTAAAATGTCAGCAGCATCAGTGCAGTCCCACACGCCGCTGGCAGTAGTCAGCAGCTCTGGGTAATTTTCTTGGCATAGAGCAGCTTTTAGCAAAAACTTCTCTCCTCAGCTCAAAGCAAGGGGGGATCCCGAGTAGCCACGGCTCAGCAAGATGCCCAATTCCTGCACTCACCTTGCCGTGCCTAACGAGCACTTATGCGAGCGCCCATCTGAGAGGATATCCTCTCCGAAATTACGGCTTTTAACCTCAGACAATGTCATTAAGGAGAAATGAAAGGTTTCTCTTTTGCCACCAGGATGACAAACCCAAAGCACCGCAAATGCGCGGCGCCGGTAAATTCACGCTCGAGTGCGCCAGCAGAATGGTAGCCAGATTTGGAAAGGGAAAGGGATGGAAATTGCTGATTTCGGCTCAATTTCTGCCGGCAGGGCAGCCTGGCCCCGGACAACAAAGAAATCTCTGTTCCCTTTTGCATCATGTGGAAAGCAACCGCCCGCGCTGCAGCTGAGCGCCTGAACAAAGGGACTTTTGGGGCAGAGCTGGGACCGAAAACATGCCCTGTAAGCCACGTCTCAGCGCTCACCGTACTCCATCTCGGTGCTGCAAACCAGAAGGAGGGCAACCACTGAGAACAGCCTCGGCTTACAAGATCAGACGGGTCCAATGCAAACCTCAAGGGCTGTGAGAAATGAAAGCGAACCCGGCACGAAGTCTGAAATGTCAGTCCCACCCTCAAAGTTCAACGAGTGCATTTCCATTTACCGCCTGACTCAAAGCCTTTAGAGATGTTTTTTCCTCTACGTGTTGCTATTGCACGCTCACCAGAAGGAGCTGTTACTTACTATATCCCACTCGCTAAAAATTCAATGCAAGCCACACTGAACAGCAGCGTTTTCTGGGACTGTATGGTGTATTCCACGTGCCAGACATCATCCTCTACGAACCAAGAACATACTTGTGTTTTTTTCCAGCAGCAGCCCCCTTCTTTTCAGCAGCATCTCCGTTCTCAGCAGCATCCAGGACAGCCAAGCTTTCCTACATGTGCTCCTGGCCGGGTTTGCTAAGACTGTCGCTT